TTTTCAAGAAGGGTAAGAAGGAAGACCCTGATAATTACAGGCCTGTCAGTCTCCCTTCAGTGCCTGGTAAAATTATGGAGAAGGTTGTTCTGGGAGTTACTGAAAAACACTTGAGAGACAATGCAGTCATTGGTCATAGCCAGCATGGGTTCATGAAGCGAAATTCCTGCTTAACCAACTTCATTTCCTTTTCTGACAGGGTCACCCATGTAGTTGAACAAGGGAAGTCAGTAGATGTGGTGGTTTGGGATTTTAGTAAAGCTTTTGATGTGATGCTGTCACAGTATCCTTCTGGATAAAATGTCCAATACATAGCTAGACAAGCCCATAATATTCTGGCTGAGCAGTTGGCTGATAGGTCAGGCTCAAGGAGTTATAGTAAATGGGGTTATATCAGGCTGGTGGCCAGTCACCAGTGGGGTGCCCCAGGTCTCAATTTTAGGGCCAGTGCTCTTTAATGTTTTTATAAATGATCTAGACGCAGGAATCAAATGTGCATTAAGGAAGTTTGCCTATGATACTAAACTAGGAGGAGCTGTGGATTCCCTTGAGGATGGAGAGGCCCTTAGAGAGATATCTTGATAGACAAGAGAGCTGACCAAGCACCAAATATATGAAATTTAACAAGAGCAAGTGCCAGATTTTCCACCTGGATGGGGTAATACTGGTTATACATACGATCTGGGGGGCGAGAGGCTGGAGGGCAACCCTGTGGAATGAGATCTGGGGGTTTGGGTTGGTGGCAAGTTGAATAGGAGTCAACAGCGTACCCTGGCAGCCAAAAGGGCCGGCTGTGTCCCGGGTGCAACAAGCACGACATAACTAGCTGATTGAGAGAAGTGATTGTCCCGCTCTAGGCCGTACTGGTGGCCCTGCCTCGAGTACTGTGTGTAGTTTTGGGCGCCTCATTATAAGAAGGATATCAAACTTCTAGTGTACAGAGGAGGGTGACCAAGATGGTGAAAGGTCTCGAGGGCAAGACTTATGAGGAGCAGCTGAGGTCACTTGGTTTGTTCAGCTTGGAGAAGAGAAGGCTGAGGGGTGAACTCATCGCAGTCTACGACTTCCTCAAGGGGGGCAGCGGAGGGGGAGGTGCCAATCTCCTCTTTCTGGTGACCAGCGATAGGACACGAGAAAATGGAATGAGGCTGTGTCAGGGGAGGTTCAGGGTGGACATTAGGAAAAGGCTCTTCACTGAGAGGGTGGTTGGTCACTGGAACAGTCTCCCCAGGGAAGCAGTCATGGCACCAAGCCTGTCAGAGTGCAAGGGGTGTCTGGACGAAGCTCTTAGTCATATGGTTTAGTTTTAGGTAGTTTTCTGCGAGGAGCAAGCAGTTGGACTTAATGATCCTTATGGGTCTCTTCCAACTTGAGATATTCTATGATATAAATTTTACAAAAATATCTTGTCATGTTTTTTCTTCCCTGGTGTCGGGAAGGTCAAATGTATGTTCTTGAATGTGAAAATTTGTGATTTATGTATTGCTTCAAAACACAAAGGAAATTGCAATAAAATTCTTGCATCACAAGAAGTTTTAGGGACAATAGAAAACATTAATTTTTATATCAGATTAAATAAGAAAAAAAAAAATCAGATTTTTTTATAGTCAGTTTTTTAAATGTGTGTGCTGTACCTTGTAGAAGCTAATTACCAAATCAATTGTCAATGCACATTTTTGGATTTTGGTTTGTAGAAGGCTCCGTCTGTTTGAATCCATTTTACTTAGTTATACAGCAATTAGAATGCTTGGATTTTCTGCTTAATTCATTTTCCAAATTACATAAATCTGTTGCTTATTTCAGGAGAGATGATGGTGTCACCATTAAATAGTTCAGATGCTTCAGAACAGAAACGAGATAGTCCAGGCATTTGTCACTTTCTGAGAGAGAAGGAGTCTCTAAAGTCTATATTTGATGCAATATGCACAAAAACTCCTGAAAAAAGAAAAGCTATGCTGGAAGAAAATATTAGTGTGGACAGTTTATCAATAATTCCAGAAGAACAAGTGTCTCTGGTAAAATCAGGAAGAAAAAGGAGGACTCCAAAGCAGAAGTTGGAGCCAGTTGAGGTTGTGTCAGGCATCAAGCAGCTTTTAAGGACCCCAGAGCAAAGGTCAGAACCAGTAGAGGCCTTGTCAGGCATCAAGCAGCTCATGAAGACCCCGAAGCAGAAGCTGGAGCCCGTAGAGGCTTTGTCGGGCATCAAGCAGCTCATGAAGACCCCGAAGCAGAAGTTGGAGCCCGTAGAGGCTTTGTCGGGCATCAAGCAGCTCATGAAGACCCCGAAGCAGAAGCTGGAGCCCGTAGAGGCTTTGTCAGGCATCAAGCAGCTCATGAAGACCCCAAAGCAGAAGCTGGAGCCCGTAGAGGCTTTGTCAGGCATCAAGCAGCTCATGAGGACACCAGAGCAAAAGTCAAAGCCAGCTGAGGCCCTATCAGGCATCAAGCAGCTCATGAGAACCCCACAGCAGAAGCCAGAGCCAGTTGAGGTCCTGTCGGGCATCAAGCAGCTCATGAGGACCCCACAGCAAGAGTTGGAACCTGTTACAGATGAATTTGCCTTTGAAAGATTGCTGAAGACTCCAGTACAAAAAAGGGAAGCAGTAAAAGATGTAGCAGGTGTTACTTTAACCAAGAGAACTCCAAAGCTGAAATATCAACCAGTAGAAGACATGATTGGGGTCAGCCGTATTTTCAAGACACCAAAGGAAAAAGTTGAACCCATAGAAGATGTGTTTGGTATTAGTAGGTTAGTGAAGACTCCAAGAGAAAAGTATCAACCAGTTGATGATTTTGTGGGTCTGCAAAGGCTTATGGCAGAACCCAGGCAGAAATGTTCTGATTTTGAAGTGGACTATGTTGGAGTTACGGAAATGTTTGATATACAAGAGGACATGAAGGTAAGATACTTTCTTTAGCTTTTGGAAGGAATGTATTTAGACTTTGAAGCCTGTGGTTGAAATGAATTCTTAGACCTCTTAGTGTAACATCTTGTATGTTACAGTGCTTAAATCTGTCATGCCCATAACCTCTGGAGGAAAAGATACCTTCTAGAAAAGCACCTTGTATTGATTTGAAAGCTGTAAAGATGGCAATCTTTTTTTCCTTGGTAGCTTTGTCCAGGTGAATGCCCCCCTGCTAGAAGATATAGCTTATTACAAATTTGAATCTGAACATTTGTTGGTTTTTTTTCTGGTCATTTGTTCCTGTTACATTTAAAGAACCCTTTAAATTGCTTACAAACCATAGTCAGATTTTATCTCAGCCTTCTTTTTCATAAGCCAGGCACATGGTTGGTGGTTTTTTTGTTTTGTTTTGTACAGCTGCTTCATACCCTATAGATTAAATTTTAAGCTCTCTTTTCCTTTGCACATCCAAAAGTGTTGAGCTTTTGACAAAACATGTTACTATATGGTCAGTTGATTGCTCTCTATGCCCCCAAGTCTTTCATTCATTTCTTCCTGAATGGCTGTCTATTTTATAGAGACAGCTATATATATCACTGTACATTTGCCTGTGTTAATATGTATTTTCTTTGAAGGAAGCCTGTCTAAGTAGTTAGTGAGGTTGCTCTGGGTTACCATTCTGACCTTATAATTCACAGCTTCATCAGTCTTGTAATTTGTGGATTTTATTAGTATTGATTTTTATGTTCATTCCCAGATCCATAGGTAAAATGCTGAGTATCACTGGACTTAGTGCTCATCAGTGTAGAACTACAATAAAACACTACAAAACACTCAAATGATTCGGCTTCGTACCCCAGATTCCTTTTGAGGACTTTTAGACACTTGTCAGCCAACTTAATTAATACTTTTTTTTAACTATGCACTGTTTATTATCTTTAACTTTAAAAACTGCTATACTAGCTTCAATGGCAAGTTCAATATATTTATGTGCTAATGTCATATATATGGATGCAGTTATAAAACTAAGTTGATTTCATTTTTAGAGAAAAGTATTTGACAAGACTTTTTTCAAGTATTATTATAGATTAATTTTTTATAGGTTCGCTCCATTATTTCTTGTCCTGTCAGACATGCATTTGTTGATTATTGTTTATTCCCTTAGGCCAGATCAGTAAGTGTTACAGATTCTAAGGAAGAAGATACTGCATCTCACTGTAGTAATTCCACTCATAAATACGGTAAGTACGATTACTTTTACTTTAACTATAGAGGAATAATGAATATATAAGGTAATAGATGTTATTATGGAGTTTTAACATATGTTTTAAAAATTCCAAAATATCCAGTGCGAAGTGTGCAAAGCTTATGGAATTTGTGCAGTCATCCCTAATGAACACCAGGTGCTGGAATCCTACTGGTATGGAAGTAACAGTGTAGTAGTTTGTTGGTGTCATAATGTTGGCATCTCCAGACACAGCAGTGTAAAAAAACTTGATGTTAAGGTCTCCACTTAAAATTATATTTCTTTGCAAAGACTTTCAAGAACGGAGCTTAAACCTACAAATGCTACCTACCAAATAAACCAAACATCTTTGGTCAGAAGGCTGGCCTTTTATCTAGTAATTTGTTAAAATATTCATTTATTTATTTTTAATTAAGAATATTAAGTGTGATTTGTTTGAGCAAGATGACTCTTGTTAGGAAAATTGAAACTCTCAGATACTTTGATCAGGCACAGTAATGTGTAACTTTTATTTTTGCTCTTTTCTATGTTAAAACTTTGAATGGGGAAAAAAACTCCCTGTTTTAGAAGACAAAGGAAATACTTCACAAGGTGAAGATTCTCAGCAGAAGGAATCACCTAGTGAAGACCAGTCTACTCAGAGACTAACAAGGGGCAGATCGAGGAAGACAGTACATCCTGCTTCAGCAAAGCAGAGTGAAGAGGGTTTGAATTTGAAAGAATTGCAAAGTCTGGTAAAAAAGAGCACCCAAGAGGAGGTGGGAGAGATGAGTACTTCAACTTCAGTAGCTAAAAACAAAGAAAAGGGAAGGAGAACAAGCTATTGCATACAAGAAGAAGTTGTTTCAAATCACCCTGATCAGGAAAATGTTGAAATTGTTTCATTTGTGGAACCACGTGGAGCTGCTCAAAGACCAGGAAGAGGTAAAAGGAAAGAACCAAAGGAGTTAAAACATCCAAGTGAGAACCTTGAGTCTTGTGGCAAAGATTCTTCAGTGCTACGAGAAGAACCTGCAAATACGAAACAGACTTTGCAGGAGTATGGTATCAATGACATATTAGCAACTGAAGATGATCCAGGTGTAAAGACAGTAAGTGTATCTAGTAGCATTCAAAATGAAAATTGTCAACTGCAAACAGGTTTAAAAAAACCTGAAAACAAGTCTAATGAAGGTCGTGTAGAAGACAATGAAGAAATGCTGCTGTCACCTAGGAGAAGGTCTAGAGAAGTAAAAAAAGTAGAGAACGCAGAGCCACTGATTCCACCTAAAAGAGGAAGAAGAGCTAGAAATGACCAAGTTAAACACACTTCTTCAGAGGACCTTCACGGGACAACAAGGAAGCTTCGTAAAGACCTATCAGCAAAGATGATACAAAGAGATGAACAGACTTTTGACAAAGATACTGAGACTCCCACAGCAGAAGAATCTGAAAAAGGAACTAAACTTGAAATAAAGGTAACAGAGAAAAGAGTCAAGTCTTTAAGAAGTGCTAGAAAGCACTTGACTCAAGTAAAAGCAGACACTTGCGGCATGGTGCTTGAAAATATACAAAACATTCAGAAAACTGAGGAAACTTCAACTGAAACTGATACTGAAACACAATCATGCATCAAAAATGAGACTAAAGTATCTCAGGGAGATGAAACAGAAAATGCTCAGGAAAATGCAACAGAAGCATCTCAAAGATTAAAGGCAGAGTCACCTTCTGGAGAGACGAACGAAATGCCAGTTACTGCTCTGAACTTGGAAGCAAACAGAAGTGCAGTACAGGAAACAAACAGAACTAGAAACAGGAGAGGCAAAAAAGACTCTTTGGAGAAAAAGACTGATGAATTTGCCGAAGGTGTAAACAATCTAGAACTAGTTACTCCCAAATTTAAGTCAGAAACAGAAATGGATGAATCTTCTCTCAAAGATTCTTTGGGCTCTGTTTGTGTCAAGAATACATACGAAGTCACGAAGGAGCAGAACGACCCAGCTGCCACATCAATACCTGCTGCAAACAGTGACAATCTTGCTCATAGCAATCAAAAGCGGATAAGAAATGAACAGAGAATACTTCAGCCAAAGCAAACTGAAATCCTACAAGAGAATCAAGCACAAAAAATTGGAACAGCATGTAGAAGAGGTAGAGGTAGAAAAGTTAATTCTGAACTTGAAGAAGCCAGTTCCAAAGCAGTTGGAGGAAAAAGGAGTTTACCTGGGGATGACAAAGGAATGACTTACAAAGTTTCTAAATATGAGACTTCAGAAAATCCTTCTTCACAAGTAAGGAGGAGCAAAAGAAAGCAAGTTGTTTCCATTCCACAGATAGCTTGTTCTACCTTTATGGAAAAACAAACATTAATTGCAGATCATAGTAAAGATGAGGCTTTTGTAAAGGAGCAAGATTCAGCTTTGGAAGATGCTCCCTCTTCAACAGAAGACATTCCACTGAGACGAGGGAAAAGACGAGAGGTTGCTGCAGCATCACAAACATCTAGATCTCTTTCTATCAGAAAAAGACGTGGTTTGCTAGAAGGTGATGATAAAAAGATTACCGTGAGAGAAGATCAAAATCCAGCTTTGGGAAATAAGACTTTGCAGGCAAAAGCGAATGCATCAGCAAGGGACAAAAGGAAAAAGATTGATCTAGCAGCACAGGCAAAAAGTTCATCTTCTCTCCAGTGTGGCTTGACAGAAACTGATGATAAAGAGGAGGGTACTAATGAAGAACAAAATACGCCTTTGGAAACAGTGTCCTGTGCAAAAGAGAAGCCATTAGGAAGGGGCAGAAGGAAAGAAACCATTCTGGCATCACACACAACTAATTACGTTTCTCTTAGAGGAAAATGCGGTTTGCCAGCAGATAATGGTAGAGAAGAAGCTTCTAAAGAAGATCAAAATGTTCCATTAGAAACTTTTGATTCATTTGTAAAAGAAAATCAACTGAGAAAAGGCAGAAGGAAAGAAATTGCCCTCTTGTTAGAAGCCACAAGTTCTACTTCAGTTCAGGGAAAACGGGGCTTATCAAAAGAAAGTGGTAAAAAGAATAACTATAGGGAAGCAAAAAAAGTGATTTTGGAAAATTCTACTTCCCAAGAAAATATGGATCTTTCAAAAGGGAACTCAAGACAAACAATCACTTCACCGGCTGTTAGTTCCACCTCACTTCAAGGTTTGCCAGAAGATGGTAAGAATGAAACTCCTGAAGAACAACAGAGTATACTTTTGGAAGTAGCTCCATCTGCAAAAGAAAATCCATCAAGAGTAGGCAGAAAGAAAACAGTTTCTTCCAAATCTGAAGAAACTAGGTCTGCTTTTCTCAGGGAAAAATCTGACTTGCCCAAAGACAGAGGTCAAAAGAGGATTCTTAAAGAAGGTGAAGATACATCTCTAGGAAATAGTTCATCCCAGGGAAATACAAGGCAATTGAGGAACAGAATGACAAAGGTGGAATTCAAATCAGAGGCAGCTACTTCTACTTCTCTCCGTAAAAATGGCGACTTGCCAGAAAATGGTAACACTTTGGAAACTCAGATTGTGTGTTTGATATCCGCTGGTTCTGATAAAAGTAATCAGTCTGGAAAAGGAAAAGATGTTAACCCCATACAACAGGCAACTTTCACTTCTCGCAGAAGAAAATGCCAGTTGCCAACAGATGACTTAGCATCCAAAAAATCAAAATCAGGTGAGGCAAGAATTTGCTTTCTATATTCTAAGTATAGCTAAGTTATGTATAGATATTAACAATAATGTGTACAAAGTTCTAGTATTACTGTGGGCTGCCATGCTCTAATGTAGATAGAGTAAATCTTTAATATAGCAAGAAGACTTAAGTAAATAGGGTCTCTGTTATCCTATATAAACAAGATGGTGTTCCTAAGTAGAAGGGATTGGTTTTATGGGATGTGACCTGTATTTTTCCTCTGTTGGGGTATTGAAATGTCTTCGTGCTCTTCTATAATACATTCTCTTTCAATCCATAACAATAAATTGTAGTTTAGAGTATATACAGTGACTAACTTGCATGCAGAAGAAGGTGGTAATGACAGAACATGATAATCACATGTTTGTAGCAACCATTGTTCATCTTGTTTTCTCCTAAATACCATCCCAAGCTCCTGCTTTTATATCTCTAGGTTTTGGAGAACCTTTACTAGTCATCAGTTGTTTTTTGAAGTTGATGCTAGAAGGGCCTGAAGCTGTATTTGAGCTAAAAAGACAGCAAAAGTTCCATGCGTCTCCCATTTCTTCCTTTATTCTTTTACTTTCCCCAAGCCAGTGGAACTCTTGCTGCAGACATTAAAATATTCCCTGGAATTTTTGGCTTGATGTGATGTAGCTTAAGAACTACCATGATGCAATTAGAAAAATATTATCAAATAAATGTGTGCAAATGGAAATAACAATGAATCTTTCGAGCTACATATTGAGGCGTTTCCTGCCAAATTGTGTTAGAAACCTTATTGTGATTTGACCATGCCCTTCATTTCATTTCTCTTTGGCTCTTTCCCTTTTCTATTGCACGTGCTTATCCTCATATAACGTGTACATCTCTTTTGCCATGTATCTATCTTGGTTTATTAAGTTGTCTTTTGTTTCCCTTTACGCTCTTGCCAGTTCCTGCTTCCGGATACTGCTATATGTACTTGCCAAATGATTGATCTCTTCTGATGCTTTACTACCTGCCTGGATAGTTTCTCTTCCGGGGAGGTCATCTTTCCCCATGTGGATTTTAGTGACAGTTTGTATGTCTGGTGCTTGGGTTGATGCTTATCTCCTGGAGCAGCTTAACTTTTCTGTGCTATCTAGATACTTAGGTAGATGTCTAGTCTTTTCTTTACAGTTAAAAGCTTGACTTTCCAGCTTTATCTGGACCATAAAACAGTTACTATATATTCATTTTTGCAAGATTTTTCTTCAGTGTTGGATATGTTTTAGTTTTACATATCAGTAGAAGGAATTTTAGCTAAAATGGTAGCTAATTGGTTTTGGTGCTCTCATTAATGTTAACCTACTTTCAGAAATAGCTGTAAGTCCTCAGGGATCTGTCTTAAAGGATATTGGATATGCAGAAGTATGGGGTTTGTAACTGGTTTGTTGAATTCATAGATGTAATCTTTGGAATGTAGTCATTAGGGACATTTCCTTTAAAAACAATGTAACTGAAGATTGGCTTTTGTATAAAATGTTTGATTTATGATACAAATTTACAGTTACTTTTTTTGTGTACAAATAGAGAATGATGAAAATAGATCGCTACAGAAAAGAAAAAGAAACAAAACTAAAGAAGAACTTGGCAAAGAGGATGTAAGGGCTACTCGGACTGCTGGAGGAACGGACAGGAAGACAAGATCAAGAACAAGTGCAAACCGAGAAAATAGTCTTAATAGTCACACAACCAGTTTTTAAATCAATTCAGTAATTGAAATTGCAGAGTTTTAATGTGAATTGATTTGCACTCAGATTTTGTAAAGCAATCACTGAATTATGATATTCTCAAAATATATTTCTTAACGTGTTTACAGATATGGCGTAGATATCTGTTTTAATAGATTTGTCTATGTGTAGTGGTTCCTAAATGGTGGGGTGCTTGTGCAAAACTGCAAACATAAAAATAAATCTTTTTGTAACAGTATCCCCCTTTTTCTGTTGGTCAGTACAGCAGTCAGGAAGCCATATTGCTTTACTGCCAGTTTAATTGTAAGCTATTTTCTGCTTAAATTTTCATGTGCTTAAGTCTTATTTTTCATTACAGTTCTGTAAATATTCTTTTAAAAACTATAGACGTATTAGCAGAACTATTATGCTGAAATTTTAATAATTTTTTTAAAAAAACCCTTGAGTCCATTGTACTGAAAAGTCTAGATCTGTAAGTCATTAAATTTGTAAACAGTTTGGGACCTGTGTGTTTTGTGTTCTTAAGAACAGTTAATAATATGTAATTACTACTGTCCTCTTACAAGTGTATTTCAAAGATTCATCCTTCCTAGCCACATGGCACGTTTTTGAAAGCGTACGGTGGGTTTTCTGCAGCACAGACACTTGTAAACAGGGCTGGACTGTGCAGCACTTCCATGTGTAAGTAAGCGTTGATAAGAGAGACAGGAGTAGTGAGTGTATGAAGTTGTGATGTTGCCCCTTTTCATAGAGTTGCAATTAATGTGCAGTAGCTAGTGTGGTTTGGAGACTGTTTTCAGAGATCAGTGTCTGCAGTGTAGGGGTAATAGCAGTGTGCATTTCTCTTCAAGGTTGGTGGCTTCCTGTTTACTGTATTAAATGCAGAAAGGGAGAAAATTAATCTCGGGCATCTAACATTTGTGCAGTTTTAAGACCAGAGTTAAAAGTTGACTTTTTTATTGAGTCCATGGAGTTAGAGACGTTTCTATGGAAGGGCAGTTGGATGCTGTGTTAGGGTGTTCTTGTTAGCTCTTCCTTCTGGGAATGATAATGGCCCTTTCTTCAGGTGAGTTCTTGTTTGTGAAGTCTGTTGTTCTCTTTCTTTAAATTAAAAAATAGTCAGATTAAGTAAGGAACGCTTTGGATGCTGTCCATACATTCAGAGCTCAGATGCGATATGACAGAATTTCTTTTAGGTGTTGTTTTTCTCAATATGTGGAATGTGCTGTATCCATATGCATAGGTTTTTTTTAATGCTTTGGGCATTTTATCCTGTTATAATGCACTTATTTTTTCTATACTTCAATTCTAGTGTGTATATTTTAAGTGTAAAATGCTGTGGATCTAGTCATATTTTTCAAATTAGCTCTATTGTTTCCTGCATGTGTTTGCTGTACCATAGTTATATGCTTTCCACTGACCAGGACCAGTGGATGGTCTATTCGTCTTGAAATAGTAACAACCCCCCAAGCCTTTTTTGTGATGAGTCAGCACTTTGGTGATGGTTATTGCTTTAGGATTAAGGAGTCTTTTCTCCAGCTTTTCTTTCAGCCTTCCAAATGTGAGGAATGTCTTTACCCAAAAGGTTTAATTGGTCTATGGCACAGGATTTGCAATCTTCCTGATTTTCAGGTCATGTAGCTTCATGCATCTTGTCACAGCAACAGCTGAAGCAGTAGGTCTGGGCTGTTACTCGAGAGTTTTTCAGAATTGTACCTGTTTTATTTGATCTATATTTATATTAAGTCCCAGCAGGCTGAGCAACTTCTCCAGTTTCCTCCCACCCTACAAAAGAGAGTTCTCTTTCTCCTCACACTTGGTTCATGGCTCCAAGTCTGTCTTAACTGCAATACAGCATCTAAAACTCCACTTTTGTGAACCTATTTCTTTATCAGCCCCTTCTGGCTGATTCCTAGAAGTATCCCCCATTGTTTTCAGAGAAGCCCAGAGGCTATAACCATCATCTGATTCACAGAAGGGAAACAGGACAAAGTAACTTAGTGTTTGTAACCCCTTGAAGTTAATGTATAGGGGGTCACTTTGTAAGAACCCCATTATCATTATGGTGCACATTATGGGGTTAAAAAAACCCATAACAGCTAAATGTTGCAGACACTACTGTAGGTTTAAATCCCTAAGCTATGCTATTATTTGAAAGTTATGCTAAAAGGAAGATTTTTATTGTTAAGCACTGATGTTGTATCACTTCTTACCCTGTTTTTCCTAGCATCTGACATTCTAATGGAAAACAGGGTCATTGTTGTCTACTAGCTGAATTTTTTGCAGAAGATGGCTAGATCTCAGCAGAGAACAAAGGGGAGAATTAGTGATGCACAGTAATAAATGACAACGTGCAGAGAAAATGAAATGCAGTACGTGGTATCAAGGCAAATGGTTTGGAGAGCACTGCTGTACTATGCTTATGTATGTGCCATTTTATTTATGTATCTTATATTGCAGAGGATATTTCTTTTTGGAGTACTCTCATTTTCCGTGGCATTCAACTTCTCAAGAAATCATTTATGCATTTGTGGTATCCTGTTCACTATTTGATCCACCTGAATGAAAGCTTCTGCTCAGAACTTGGCATTTCTGCTTTCACATTTACATTTCACTGAGCCATAAGGAGTTTTTCCTACTGCGTGTCCTGATTGCATAAATACAGCAAGCTCTCATTATTTGGGCTCGGTAGCTTTCACTATAAAATGTGGATATAAAGAGGAAATACAGTAATGCTTTAACCTCTTGAGGCTTTTGATGCAAGTACCCTTCTTCCAGGTGAGCCCCACAGGCTTGATGGTTTTTGAGCTCACATCTGTAAATTTTCTCTGTTCTCATAGTTACATAAGAGAAGCAGGTGCCTGTAAGTGGCTGTACCTCTCTTATCTTCGCAGTCTTTAATATTCTGTAGTTATTCAAGGCAGTAATTTCTGGCCTAATGATAAAGTCTTAAGGCAGAGGCCAAGACTGCTGAAGGGGCTGAAGGCTATTGCTCTGTGAGAAAACGCTCCATTTTTAATTGCGTAGCATGCAACTGTTTCTTAAAATTATAACGGGTCACACCATCTTCTCTAATTTAGATGGGAAGCATTCAGCGGTGAAGCATCCTCCGTACCACAGGAGAACTAAGCCTTGTGCAGGTACATTGCGGTATGCTGGTAGAGGAAGAATACTAAGGAAGTTTCCACTATTGCCATAAAGTAGTTGCATTGTTTTTCGTTTCAGCTCTGCTGCCACAGTGGTAAACCATGGCACGTTGGCAACCTGGGCTGGTGAACTACTGCTTATAAGTCTGAATATCAAGGTACCTGTTGCACATTCAGCGTAAAAGGTAGCTGTGATTAATTAGAGATGGATGCCTGAGCAACTCTGGTACAATAGGTTAAAGCACAGAGAGTCCTTGAGAGACCTTTGCAACTTACATGCCAGTTCTTGAACTCTCAGCTGCCAATAGGATCTAAGAGGGCATATTGGCCTTTTTGTGCAGAATTGTGCATAGCAAATAGATTGTCAGCGACGTGAGGAGACCAGTGTATTTTCTGAGTAGCCTTATAGGATATGTAAAAAAGACGTTGTACATATCCCTGTGTTGGAGATGCATCCAGTGCACAGGGAGATGAAGACCTGAAACTTTCCAACACAGTAGATACTTCACAGAATGTCAGAATATGTTCAGTCTCAATTGTATTTTCATCTAGGCCTGCATTAGCACCCAACTTTTCAGATAGATAGGTGAGAAATGGCTATACTGCTCTTGATTAGCTACAACTACTGCATTTGATGTTTCCCTTCAGAGGGAACTTGTCATCAACTCCCCATTATTGGGGTAATGGAAGCTGGGGATATTTTAGGTGATGGAAGAAATGGACATTGAAGCCTGCTTAGTCACAGCTGGCTGTAGCAGATCCATGCAGAGGACACTATCTCCTAGTGTTTTTTAGGTGGTGCTGAGAGCTGAGGTGGCTCTCTGTTCATTCTCCAATCTGCAGGCTTACAATCAGAAGTTTTAAGTGTTGTGACGATATGTATCTGACCAATTCAGCTGCGGTCAGCACATGTCTGCTGATGAGTTTAAAGCTAAGAAACTGTGCTAGAATGCAGACTGTTGCTGTGTGTGCGCTGAACAGCGCAGTGATGTGTCTGAGCAGGCTCTGCATGCAGCTACTCGGGCTTTTATTAGTTTGTGCTCCAGTCTACAAGAAAGTAACTAACGGCTCTGTGTTTTCTGTTGAGCAGCTAATGCTCGCTCTAACTAAATGGACTTTAAATACCTAATAACTAAAAAATAGTCCATAAATAACAACTGGATGTGTCTACTGGGAAACCAGAGAAGACAATGTCTGTCTTAACAAAATAGGTCTTAATGGCCTGTCTAAGCAGTCCAAGAAATTCTGTCCAAAAGGTGATAGTTGGTGTTGTCCTTGCTCTTACTGTATAAACCAGCCTAGTTCTAACTGACATTTAAAGAAAGAGTGCCATACTCTTTCTTGAAGCATATGGGCTTCAGAATCAATTTAAGACAGTATCTGTGACTGTCTCATGTCACAGAACCAGTGATTGTATGTGTTACTGTAAAGGCTTTAAAGAGGACTTTAAACTGAAGTGTTTTGAGGGTCTGATTTGTTTTGAAGTTGTTTTCTTCAAAACTAGTAAACTGAGAAATATTTTGGGTTTTGAGTAGGATTTGAAGATCAACAGCCTATGCATTTCATTATCATAAGGAACAGAAACAGTGATTTGGATTGGAGTAAATCACATCTATTTAACATGGGGTGGGGGGGAAGGTAAAAAAAAAAAAGACCCAAGCAATATAAATGACATGAGAAGTAGAATATGGGGGTTTGGTTGTTTTTTTAAATTCTGTTTCCAAAACATGACATCCATAAAACTTTAGGCCTAGAATCTCAGAG